TGGGGGGGGGGGGGGGGGGCGAAACAAACATGGAGCAATCGCCTTGGGTAAGCTCGCCGATCATGTGAATGTACTCGATGCGGCTGTAAGAGAGGCCGGTGGCGTCGGCCATGCCCTTCATTTCTTCGAAAAAGTATTGGCCGGTAAACGGGCTGTTCATGCGAGGGCAAGGCGACCAGAGCTGGATGAGGTGACGCATGTGTTTGTGGGCTGGGCGGCGAGTGTGTGCGTGTCCTTGTGCACGGGCAGAAGATAAAATGTGATCTGGCGAGCCCTTGAGCGGGCGCGGACGAACCGGGTGAGATCAAGCGTGAGGTCAAGGGCGACCTCAAGGCCGTAGTTGGCCACCATTTCGATAAAGCCGGGCTTGAGGGTATGGATCGAGCCATTGAGGGCCTGCTCGACCTGAAGCTCAAGGTAGGCCCAGACGGCGTTGATAAAGTCCTTGGCATCATCCTGCATGAGGGTACCATGGGCAAAGCCCTTCTCGTAGGGGGTGCCCCAGAGGTGAACGACGTTGATGGTATCATTGCCGCCGCCAACGCGGTAAAGCTTGGCGTTGGCGACTTGACGCACGAGCACGGGCGCGCTGTCGTAAATGGCGTTCAAGTTGGGCTGAGCGTCTGGTTTCGGCGATCCATGACACTCGGCCGCCCGCGCCACACCAACCAACGCCACCACCGCCACCACCACTGCCATGACAATGGCGCCTCCATTGTATCGCGCCATGATATCGTTGATCCCAGCCCCCGGCGTCACTTGCACCCTCTCGACTCCAACACCCCCGAGATCGCAAATGCAGAGAACGGGAAGAGAGAGAGAGAGACAGAGAGAGAGAGAGAGACAGAGAGAAGAGAGAAGGGGGCAGAGACAGAGAGAGAGAGAGAGAAATGAATTGATTTGAGAAAGAAAGAGAAAGGTATAAACAGAGACAGAGACAGAGACAGAGACAGAGACAGAGACAGAGACAGACAGAGATAGAGACAGAGACAGAGATAGAGACAGAGATAGAGTTACAGTCAATCTGATGGATATATGGAGGACGAGAGATCTCCATCTTCCTCTGGGCACAGGGGGTTTACCCCAAAGCCAGGGGATCAAGCCATCATCTACCTGTCTCACGCCCTGGGATCGCAGCTGTGCACGAGTCAGGCCGAGAATCGCTGGCGCTGCCGTTTCTCTTGTTTATCCTCGATCCTCCTCCAGACTGTTCTCAACATCTGTTGACAACATTCTTCGATCAGCTGTGTGTGTGTGTGTGTGTGTGTGTGTGTGTGTGTGTGTGTGTGTGTGTGTGTGTGTGTGTGTGTGCGCGCTTTGACGTTTTTGCTCTACACGCTTGCCAGCATACCTATGGCTCTTGGCGATGAGCTGTATGGGTGTATGGAGTTTGAGGTAGGGTTCGAAAAGGCTTCACAGGTGTGTGGCATGGGATCGAGTTTGGTCAGTTGGGAGTAAGGCAGCGAAATCCGAGTGAGGGGCTTGATGGGACGGGCGGCGAGCGCCAACGGGCGGGCCGACGGGCGGGCCGACGTACAGGAACAAGGTGCGAGATGGAAATAAAAACAGAGACAAGCAGCGTTCAGGCGCGTGTCTTTCACAGCCAAGAGGCAGTTTTGGTGAGCAGCCAGAAGCGCCGTGTGAAAAGGAGCGGGCCACGCACTGGCATGGCCCAGCACTCGGGATGCTCATTGATGTGTCCATGGGGGTGATGGGGATGTTGTCCCGTGGGAGGAGCGTTGTGGGATGTGTGGGTTGGGAAAATGTCAAACAGAGCGATGGGTGTGACAAAGCTGTCTTGTGCGTGTGACGGTACTCATGAACTTCTTGACTTGATCTTGAAACACAGGTGTGGCAATACGAGGTGTCGGGTGTGACAGCGGATGGGAGGACAGCAGCGACTGCAGCCACAAACCAAAGGGCCCCATTTGTGCAAACGGGGAGGTTCCAGAGATGGCAGTTCAACTGTCAGAGAGCTGGGTTTTTCGTTTCATTGCCTAAGCTTATTATAAAGGCAAATCAGAGGAATGTCGAGTTTGATGAGAGAGGGGGTCGTCTGGGTACCGGAAGCAACCATCTTGTTGTGCTGGCAGGAGTCACATGGAGGAAGCATGGCTTCAAAGGATTCATTCGAGAGCTCTCCCGGACCGCTGACCCCAAAGGCTGGCCTCACGTCTAGCCTTGGGAACGACCAAAGGGGACCATGGCTTTGGAACATCCAACCAGCCAAGTCAGCCAGATAACCATCCAAACCGGCCAAGTCAGCGAGCCGGCCAAGTCAAGTCGGCCAAGTCGGCCAGAAACTCGGCTTTCTTTTTGAATCTGTCATTGCAGCCTTGATACGGATGGTAACGCAATCCACCAATGCTGATGCGCGATGGGTTTGTGTATCCCGCTATGTTGTTGAGACACAACGCAGTCGGTACAGACACATGCAGGAGGCGCAATCGTGCGAGAGAGAGACAGCGAGAGAGAGACAGATCGCCCTCTCCGCGCTCTCTCCGTCTCTCTCCATTACATCTCTCTGTCTCTCTGTCTCACTGTCTCGGGTCACTGCGAGTCAACCAAACAAGCCAAGCCAAACGGCCATGGCAAAGAGGAAGCAACCGCCGTGTCGTCCCATCACAAAAAGCCCAACCAACCCGACGCGCCGGTCCCCCAACCTCTTGTCCTTACTCTTTGGGTACTTGATCAGCCGTGTGCCCCCCTCTCCCACACACACTCTCACACACACACACACACACACACACACACGCTTTCCCGTTTACCTATGGCCCAGTTGTTACCCAACCCTTTCACTGTTGTCAACGCTCTCTCTCTCTCTCTCTTGCCATGTCTGTCGCTTCATCCCAATCTCTGCTTCTAAGTTTGTTCCCTGCTATCTCTCTGCTTCTCGCTTGTACTACAAATTTAAAACTTTTTGAGTTTCCCTTTTATCTCTGCCTCTGCCTCTCACAATGTCTCCACCTCTACGCCCACCCCTCGCCC